ACTTTGTGTACCAATTTTAAGCGAAATCGGCCGACCTTCATTTCCAAGTCTGCCCCAGTCTCTCAGGCAGAAGCTCTTAAGACTTGTGTTTTGATAAGGATTTCTGAAATTTCTGATCTATAGATAGGAAGTTTCTTCAGCCATGCCCTCCCTCAAAGTGTTGTTCCAGAAAATATCTATATCCCTCCCACAGAGGGTTTTTTTAACCCTCTCTTGATCCCCCTGCAAATTCAAAGTTTGGCTCATACTTTGCTTTAACATTTTTGAGTTTTGAGACCCCACCCCCTCCCCACCCCCTTAGAATTTCCAACAACCTTCCTTGGAGTGACTATGGATATTTTCTGGAACCACACAATAATAATAATAACTTTATTTACATGCCAACGAGATTTAGCATTGCTGCTAATTGGGGACACCGAAAACGAGTTACAATTATCAGGACTATGTACAAATTAAATTTAACAATACATTTTATTTTGAGCACCAAACTAAAAAAATCAGTTTGATGCCATGTCAAATGTTAGAAATCCACATTAGAATAATACTGCAAAATATTGTTCTCCAACCTTTTTTTCTGCTTTTATGTTTCAGCCAAAAAAAAAATTACGCTAAAACTGATAGACCAGGTGAGAGTGATCTCTTGACGACCTTGATTCACTCCAACAGTAATGAAGAGGACCTTCTGAGCGATTTAAGGCGGAGAAAATGCATAAAAATTTAGGTCTAAAAGTGTATCTCTCGCAGTGGTGAGCAATGTGAGATTGATCTATATTTCCCTCAATACTTATGATATAAGCTTTTGCTTAACTTAAAACATATAACTTGGAATAGGATACAATAGATAACCCTGGAGATCTTGCCAAGAAATATTACTGCTGCTAAAAATTCGTCTCATGCAACTGTGTCGCAATAATGAGCCACAAGTCACAAGCACTTGGGAATAATATGGCTAAATACACAGCATGACCCTTAGAGTTGGTTTTCGATCCAAACCAATCCATTCATTGCAACATCTCTATACTCGCTCGCTTCATAGCGTTACACAGTTGCGTGCAGACAAAAACGTATCGAAATCGAAAACGACAATCAGCGAAAATGAACTTACCCTCGCTGGTCAGTGGGGCTTTGGTTTGTGTCTTCCATTATGTCGCCAAGAGTAAACGAATGGAACGATGGAAAACTCAGTATCATGACATGAAAACATTGAACGAGGTATTCCTTTGCGAACACTTTTCACGCAAGTACCATCCCAGAGGACATATCGAGCGAGAATAGCAGTCCCGTCCCAGTCTCCCGTGTGACCCCTTGACTGTCCCTGGCGCCTCTATGAGACTGGAAGGACGTAGCAGTTGTTGGTGAAACGTGGGTAAAAACATCCGTGAATGTTATTGGTGACGTTCGTGGAACCTATATAGTGTGTTAACCTTGTATCATAAGTAAAGACGGAGTACCTTACTCCTTTATATCGTGTCGGGGTCACGCTGCACGCTCGGCCGATTTCGAAATCACTCACCCGATTAGTCTCTAAATTGTTACTAACTACTAGTAAATCTCAAAAATTGACCGAGCAGTTTCGAGGTCAATAAGGCAAGGCCGAGGTTTGAGATTTTCTCGTAAAATACCGAACGTTCGAGGTTTATAAGTTGTTTATTTGTTTTGTTTTTCCGGGCCCGTAATCAGCCTGTGGGCATTACTTGAGAATAATGCCCTGGAATTAGCCAATCAGAGCGCGCGCTATATCAGCTACAAACACAACCAATATAAAATAATAATGATAATTAAAAACTGGATCATTGATAAATGCAATTGTAGAGTTAATTGCTTTAGCCATCATGGTATATGAGTAATTATACCATGCTTTACAAATATGGAAAGCCTACGCATAATTTTATGGTGTATTTTTACTTTTGTTTCATTTCAATTTTCAGTTTTCTATTTTTTTTGGGGGGGG